GGTTCAGGATCTATTTTAGTAGCTTCCTTAATTTCAAATAAATGTTTCAGAAATCTCTAAACAGCAGCTTCCACATTTACTGCTTCTACTTTCGTCTTAACTGCTACTTTAGCAGCTCCCGGAATCTCTGCGACTTTAGCTGCTCCTACAATCTGGGATATTTTCACTGCATTCTCAGCTGCTTCCTTTGCTGCATGTGCTGCTCCCGGAATCTCTGCTACTTTAGCTACTCCGGAGTCTCTGCTACTTTAGCTGCTCTTACAATCTGGGATGCTTCTACTGCATTCTCAGGTGCTTCCTTTGCTTGATTGACAACAGATCTGTGAAGATCTATCTATTTTTATTAATTAACTGGAATTGAATTTGCATATTAAATCTTGAAAAATTAAAGTTTGGTTAATTAAGCATTAAACTTTTCAGGTTTTGTAGAGTCTCATGGAAGGTTTAAAAAAGCAGAAAATTAGACCTAACTCTAATTTTTCTTAAGATGATAATTGGACCACCTCTTACTTGAAACTGCCCAGAAGAATTACCCTACAAACATAGTTGGCCAGGTATTTATACCTGAAGCAAATTTCATAGTTCTGATTGGACAAATGAGTGTTTGCCGTAGCCAGGGCTCCATTAGCCTTAGTACTATCATAGTTAAAGTTTTTAATAATTCCAGAGGTTCCAGTCAAATATTGAAGGCAGTCATCAACTGAAAACAATTAGTTTTTATAAATTATTTACAATGAATGTCGAGCAGACCAAAACTCCGGAATAGGAAGTTGACTTTTTGATTCAAGTTATGGCTTTAAATTATTATAGTATAAGAAACACTAGACACAGCAATTGAGCAGTGTAAACAGAACTATATCACTTATTTAGTGATTTAATAAATATCTAGTAAAACTATTTGCTTTGTAACAGCATCAAATACACTTTAGTATTGCGGTAATGGTGTCTTCTTATTCCATTGTTTTCTGATTATCACCGTACTTGGACAATCTCTCCCTCATTTCATAAAATAAAAATACATTTTTCCCCTTCAACTTTTTTTTCAAATTTCCTTCCAGGGGACTATCATTTTAAGAACTACCCCCCCCCCCCTGGAGTGTGGATAAGGATCGAAATGATTTTGATACTTTGGGGGGAGAAAAAAATCAAAAACTTGACTATATTTACTCAAAAATTTTATAATTTCATGAAAAAAATGTTAAATAATGTTGTTTTTCTCATTTTTTTTTCTTGATATTGTTCTCAGCCTGAAACTGTCAATTGCAAAAGGCATTGAATGAGTTTTTGATGCTAACATAAGGTCCTTTCCGAATTACCATTTTTACTGTTACTATTGAATGTTACCAAATCATAAATGGAATAGCAATTCTTATCAAATTTAATTAACTCTTTTACCTATTCCCGGGACATCACTTCCACAGTCATACTGAGTAACCTTTACCCTCCAGCTCCTGGTGGTTGAGCTAGCCTTGTCTATGAAAAATTAACATATTCCATGGAATCTACAGATCTATTATGAATAAAAAAAATTTTTTGAGTGATAGTTTATTATTTTTATTATAGGTAAGCAAATGTTTTACCTATGTTGAATGAGAGTTTATTACAGGAGGAGCTAGAGTCCACAAACATATGTTGTCCGGTGTTTAGTCCACAGATGGTAGGAGGGGCAGATCCACCTTCAGGGGAAGTAACTACAACGCATCAATTCTTAGTCTTTTGGCTTGCTGCAAAAAGTGTTAAAGGGTACTTGAATATTGCAAGATAATAGGAAGGAAAAAACTCAATGTGCATTTTTTAATATGGAGATTACCATATTGACCTCATCCATACAGTAAACCCATGGGCACCCCAGGGCCCAGGGAGAGGCTAAAATTTATTCATTTTTATTTTGAAATGAGAAACACCGGGCACTTCAGCAAGACTCATAATTTACACCAAGCATTGGTAAATCCTAATATAAAGGCTCAGTAACATCTCGCAATGTAACATTTTGCCATATAACATTTCGCCATAAAACATTTCGCCATATAACAACTCGCCTAAGTAACAACTCGCCTGACTAACATTTCGCATTATAGCAACAACTTGCCTTTATATAAATTTAAAATTAAATCTTAGTGTAAATGAAAATGAAATGAAAATCCAAGAATCAAAAACCAAAAATTCGCAAATACAGTAATTCCAACAATGTCGGGAGTACTGCACGCATCTACAGCTCAACAGGGGAAAGCATCTTTGGTTGACATAAACATTAAACAACTTCTCCTATACACTAAATTTGAATCTACTTTTATATGTATCTATATATTTATCAATATAGCTGAAAAATGTTTCATAATTTTATATAATTACATATACTTTCTACTAACCTACTAATAAACTACTGCTATCTACTAAATAAAATTTATTATTTTGTTTTTTGTTTTTATATGGCTAGCTGTTATATAGGGGAGTTGTTGTTATATGTCGAAATGTTATATGGCAAGGTGTTTAATGGCGAAATGTTACTTAGGCAAGTTGTTATATGGCAAAATGTTATTTAGTCGAGTTGTTATGGCGAGATGTTACTGAGCCAATATAAACCTGCACCACTCAATACACATTATTGTGGATCTTTTTTAAATAAATGCATATTCTTAAAAATCCTTTTTGTCAAGATCCCAATAGTGGCATAGATTCTTAAATGAAATTACTAGCAAAGCCAAGTATCCAAAATTACCTGTCCAAATATTGAAAAAGACATATTAGTTCCAAATCACAAAAACTGAAATAATACCAACACAAAAAAAGTGGATAAAGGTTAAGCAGATTGTGTTTTCTCCAAAAAATTCAAGTAATTATCTAATTCTCAAGTTGGATCCTGGATTTTCTGTATTTCCAAGAAAAAGTAAAACCTTTGAATAATAGATGCTAAAGCTAAGTTGTGAAATGAAGATATAACTGATATAAGACTAAAAACATTTCCTGTGAATGAATCAGTTCTACAGTCTCCTATAGCAGGACCAACTGTTGCAGGAGCAGTATCACTAGTGGTAGTTTCTGGTCCAGCTATGGAGAATGACTAAAATTTTTAAAAATTTAATTTAAAACAATAATCAAAGTACAAAAAGGAACTACTTTATACTTGTAGATTTTTCATGAAGATTTTTTCACAGAAATTTTATATTTTTGATTTACATTGACATCACAAAAATACAAAAAAGTTGTGGTGATTCTTTAACATATTTATGTGAATCTTGAAAGATATATTACAGATGGAGAAAGAAAGGAATTGAGTTTATGCCACAAGTTCAAATTTTTAGAATCCCTACATGTTTGTAGCCTGATGATGTAAACCTTTGATATTTCAAACTAAGAATATTTTATCTAACATGATTTATAGTTTGAAATATCTTAGGTATACGACACTGGGTTTAGAAGATTGATATAGGGATTACAATATCAGAGTTTGTGGCCAAGACACATTTCCTTTGCAAAAAAAATGTTTTGTTCATCTAAATTTAAGAAACATTTTTGAGGTCAAAATCCCTCCTCCATAAATTTGTTATTCTTTATTTTAAAATATTATTTGTTGTTAAGATACAGGTACAATTTCAAGTCTTGAAAGATATATTACAGAAGGAGGAAGAAAGGAATTGAGTTTATGCCACAAGTTCAAATTTTTAGAATCCCTACATGTTTGTAACCTGATGATGTAAACCTTTGATATTTCAAACTAAGAATATTTTATCTAACATGATTTATAGTTTGAAATATCTAAGGTATACGACATTGGGTTTAGAAGATCGATATAGGGATTACAATATCAAAGTTTGTGGTCAAGACTCATTTCCTTTGCAGAAAAAAATGTTTTTAAATAACATTTTGTTCATCTAAATTTAAGAAACATTTTTGAGGTCAAAATCCCTTCTCCATAAAATTGTTATTCTTTATTTTAAAATATTATTTGTTGTTAAGATACAGGTACAATTTCAAGTCATTTTGGTAAATATAACACTTCTCACACTGGATCTTTAAAGTCATAATAAAGATTGAACCACTTTTTAAGTTTTAAACTACTATAACAAGATTATTGTAAACCCTCACTTTTTTTTATATTATTATATTATTATTAGGTATAATACTAATTTTTATTTTAAAATTTTTTACTTTTACTTAAAGCTTAATTAGGCATCTGATTCTTTTTCGTTGCTATAAAGACTCAGGGACCAAGTATATTTTATTAAACCCTATTCTGCATGATTGTGTGGTTGCCAAGAAGGACCTTAAGAAAAGCACCGGTCATTTACATATAATACAAAATATTGTTCATTATTTATTTTGATTATTATTGTGTTCTTTCTGTTTATATTGTAAATTACCTCAAAATCCAGTCTAAGCTTGCAAATATTGTTGTTACATGGGCAGATAGTATATGTACAGGGGGAAGGTGTTGTAGCTGCAGTAAAACTTGTAGCAATATGGTAGGTATTATTCTGAGATATTGTCGATCCACATGCCATAGAAACTAAACAAATAGATATTCAAATACCCATTTTTGGCAAACACTAGTATTATTTTTTTTTAACCATTTTATCGAGACTTTCTTATCAGAAAAAAAAATCTATCCAATTATTTAGTTTAATCTAATATTTTTAAAGATGATTGATTTAACTTACAAATTAATTAAAAGTATTAATAAAATTGTATTTTAAAAACTTAGAATACTCACACACACAACAAACACCAAATCCAGACGCACAAGTTACAGATGAACTTCCACCTAAATTCAACAAAAATAAATAGATTTTTTTAAACATTATTTAATTGATTTCAATTTTGATTTTATATCATAAAATTTCAGAATTTTCAAATCTAGGAAAACTTAGATTTTGTCATACATTTAAAGAAATGTGAAATCAAAATGTAAAAGAGAAGAACATAAAATTCAAGAATACGGCAAAAGTGAACCTTTTGCAGAACATTCTGAGGCTGTGTAACAGGTTCCATTAAAGCCTCCAGATCCGACACAGGGAGCGTTGGGAAACCTGATTACTGAGAAAATCAACTTTCCATTCCGATCTAAACAGTTTGAGACAGGTATTAGAGGGCATATAATACCGTGTAGTACAATTATTAAATTGCTGTAGGGACTTGTACGGGGGGGGGGGTTCCTAAATTATTATTAGTTTTATTATTATTATTTCTAATATTTCTATAATACAGGGCATGTTTATAATTTAGAATGTGTTCTTGAAATTAAACATTAGCAATTCAAGAGTCTTTTTTTTGTTGATTTATGATTTTTCCAATATTTTTAAAAATGTGTTTGTATGCGATTATAAACTTTCAGATTCATTCATATAAATCTATTCAAGGGTGAATACAGGGGGGGGGCAAAGGGGGCAGTGCCCCCCTCTAACTCAGAGCTTTCACACTTTTCCTGTTCATTCAGTGGACTAAGAAGATTGTATACGTGGACCAGAATTCATACATTCATGCTAATCGGATGGGCGCTTTTAGGGATAGCGAAGTAAAACAATTATTTTTAAATGCCATGCCACAATGGCTGGATTTTTTAGTCAGATTTTTTTCTTTGGATAAAATTTACTTTATTCATGCACCGCCATTTTGTAATTTTTCTTTTATAACAAACTAGCTGAAGTGCCAAGCGTTGCCCGTGGAATTTTAAAAATCGAATTAAAACAAAAAACTTAAATTTTTTTTCGCTTATGTCATCCTCAAGGGTATCCATGAGTTTCCTTACTAAAATTCAGCCCATTGATTCAGCCGTTTGGCCAGCCATAGCAAACATATAAATAAACGAAGAGCTTTATTATATAGATTACAATTGTATTCATACTTTTTTTTCGAAGCAGAAACTTTTACAAGCCATAATTATTCTGGACCTTTGTCCTTTTTTCATCTCATAGAATTTAAGTTTAAGTTGAGGTTTTCATTTTCAAAAAAGTCTTTAACTATCTCTAGTTTAAAAACTTATTATTACTAACATAACAGTATAATAAAATGCCGATTTTTAAGAATAACAATGCTTTTTTCTGCTAGTTTTGTTTGAAGGAGAGATAAAGTATAGTACATGCAAGGTAATTGGACTGTATGTGAAACTTTAAAGTATCTTATTCTTATGCCTGATATTCAAGAAGCCAAATATTTTGAATTTACAGTTCAAAGTTTGCCCCCCCCCCTTTGAATCCATTAAGTTCTAGAAAAAAATTACTTATCTTTTTTATCTACTATATAGTGGTAACTTATTTAAAGCTTTTTCAACAAATGATCATAAATCATTTTATCCTTTATCAGATTTAGGAATAATATTTGTAAAGGTTTTAAAAATACTAATGCGCTTTTTACCTGTTGTTTTAACAGTTTCATTTACCTCTCTGGCATTTAATCCTAAAAATAAAATAAGACTGAAACTGAAAATATAGGTATATATATATAATTGTTAACACAAATTCGAAAATATAAGGAAGACGATTTTACCGACTCAAATGCCGTAGCCTTTTCTCAAAACGTGTTTGTCCATTTCCTCCATGTAGCACCCACATGTCAAACCCCGCTCATCCGTTTCCCGCCTCACCCCTCTATAACACATCCCAGCTCAGTCAGGTTAGGAAAGTTGAGCTAGTAACAGCTTCGACACAGGGAGCCTCTTGACTCCTTTATGATGATGACGCAGATCCTCAACTAGCAGCAGACAGGCTTACCTGAGGGTTCTCAGTTTATCATGCATTCCACTTCCAGAGACAACATAATCGCTCAAATCCAGCATGATAAAGCCGCGATCTCTGCCTACAAGGTTGGATAAGCCCTGTTGTTCCAGTTCCTGTTGATCTGCTCCACCAACATCAAGCTCTACATCACTCCCATGAAGTACCCACAAATACTCATCATTTATTCCTTTGTTAATTTCTAAATCAACCAATTTTAACTCCGCCTTAAATGCAAATATATAAAACTCTCGTTTTTAAATAAATGTTAGAAATATCCATTTTTAGATCTCTTTATTTTACTACAGTGACTTTTAAAGTCAATATTTTGAAATATGGAAATCTAGGCGGGTTATATCTTGGTTGGTTGGATTTTAAAGTTTCGAATTTGTTTTATTCTTTGTTAAATTAAAATCCCCTTTTAATTTAACCCCCATGTAGGGGGTAATGTTAACACAAATTCGAAAATATAAGGAAGACGATTTTACCGACTCAAATGCCGTAGCCTTTTCTCAAGACGTGTTTATCCATTTCCTCCATGTAGCACCCACATGTCAAACCCCTCTCATCCGTTTCCTGCCTCCCCCCTCTTTAACACATCCCAGCTCAGTCAGGTTAGGAAAGTTGAGCTAGTAACAGCTCCGACACAGGGAGCCTCTTGACTCCTTTATGATGATGACGCAGATACTCAGATAGCAGCAGACGCTCTTACCCGAAGGGTTCCCAGTTCATCATGCATTCCAGAGACAACATAATCGCTCATAGCCAGCATGACAAGCCGCGATCTCTGCCTACTAGGTTGGATAAGTCCTGTTGTTCAAGATCCTGTTGATCTGCTTCACCAACATGAAGATCTACATCACTCCCATGAAGTACCCACAACATTCATCATTAATTCCTTTGTTAATTTCTAAATCAACCAATTTTAACTCCGCCTTAAATGCAAATATTTCAAAACACTTTCGTTTTAAATAAATGTTAGAAATATCCATTTTAGATCTCTTTATTTTATTATAGTGACTTTTCAAGTCAACATTTTGAAATATTGAAATCTAGGCGGGTTATAAATTGGTTGGTTGGATTTTAAAGTTTCGAATTTATTTTAATCTTTGTTAAATTAAAATCCCTTTTTAATTTAACCCCGAGTAGGGGGCAATGTTAAAATTAATTCGAAATATAAGGAAGACGATTTTTCCGACTCAAATGCCCCAGCCTTTTCTCTAGATGTATGTGTACTCAAATCCATTTCCTCCTCATGTAGTGCCCACATGTCGAATCTCCGCTCATCCCACCCCCCTCCCGGTATTCAGTCATGTTAGGACAGTTGAACTAGTAACAGCTCCGACACAGGGAGCCTCTTGACTCCTTTATGATGATGACGCAGATACTCAATTAGCAGCAGACAGGCTTACCCGAGGGTTCCCAGTTTATCATGCATTCCACTTCCAGAGACAACATAATCGCTCAAATCCAGCATGATAAAGCCGCGATCTCTGCCTACTAGGTTGGATAAGCCCTGTTGTTCCAGTTCCTGTTGATCTGCTCCACCAACATCAAGCTCTACATCACTCCCATGAAGTACCCACAAATACTCATCATTTATTCCTTTGTCAATTTCTAAATCAACCAATTTTAACTCTGCCTTAAATGCAAATATTTCAAAACTCTCGTTTTTAAATAAATGTTAGAAATATCCATTTTTAGATCTCTTTATTTTACTATAGTGACTTTTAAAGTCAACAATAATATATATGGGTTATCTGATGTTTTCTAAATGGATTTCCTTCCAAAACTTACTTCAGCTCCTTAACAATAATTTGATGTCATGTGTAGGGTTTCCAGTTTTGAAAAAATACAAAAATTTTCGTTCGCATTTCGTAAACTTTTTCGCGAAAATGAATGAAGTGCAAAAATGCGAAAACAATACGAAATTAATTGCGTAAAAGAACTTGTGGAATTCTCAGTCCGACCCAAATCCAGCTAGCCATGAGCCAGCCCATTACAAGAAAGAATCTTTTAAATCGACATAATTTGTTAGCGAAATTTGCATATTAAGTGTAAATTTCACCTTTTACTAAGAAAAGGCAGATCCAAAGATAGATGAGATACATTTTTCTAAAAAATAATTATTTACAAGTATTTGCATACGTTGTAAGTACCCTAGATAATTGAGATTAAAATACAAATTCCTTTTCAATTTGATGTAGGGTAAACTAAACTAAACTAAACTAAACTAAACTAAACTAAACTAAACTAAACTAAACTAAACTAAACTAAACTAAACTAAACTAAACTAAACTAAACTAAACTAAACTAAACTAAACTAAACTAAACTAAACTAAACTAAACTAAACTAAACTAAACTAAACTAAACTAAACTAAACTAAACTAAACTAAACTAAACTAAACTAAACTAAACTAAACTAAACTAAACTAAACTAAACTAAACTAAACTAAACTAAACTAAACTAAACTNATGCTTTCGAGGAAAAACTTTAAATTAAATTTTAAATGCTAGGTTTCTCATACTATTAGATATGTTTTACTGATAAGTTCATTCGATCAGTTTCTCCTATTTAGCGAATTAAACCTTTAAGAAATTACATTACAAACAAGGAAAAAAAAGGATTTGCGTTTTATCTCTTCAGTGCATATTATGAACCACCAGGATGTATATCCGTATCCCCTTTTGATAAATATAAACCTTAAAGATGTATATGATTATATATAAACCTACAAGATGGATATCTATATACCTCCATCCTTATATATAAAGCTCCAAGATGGATATCTAAATACCTCCATCCTTATATATTATCCTACAAGATGGATATCTAAATACCTCCTTCCATACCTCCAAGATGGATATCTAAATCCCTCAAGAGTTACATAAACCTCTAGGATGGACATCTAAATTCTCAAGAGGTATATAACCCTCTAGGATGGACATTGAACATCTGAATTCTTAAGAGGTAAATAACCCTCCAAGATGGATATCTTTATATATAAACCTCTAGAATGGATATCTGAATCCTTCCAGTGAAAAAAATAAACCTCTAGGATGGATATCTGAATCCTGCTAGAAATAAAAATAAACCTCTAGAATGGATATCTGAATCCTTCCAGTGACAAAAATAAACCTCTAGGATGGATATCTAAATCCTTCCAGTGATAGAAATAAACCACTTTGATGGATATCTTAATCCTTCCAGGGATAAAAATAAACCACTTTGATGGATATCTTAATCCCTCCAGTGATAGAAATAATTTTCTTGGATGGATATCTGAATCCTTCCAGTGATAAAAATAAACCTGTAGGATGGATATCTGAATCCTTCCAGTGATAAAAATAAACCTCTAGGATGGATATCTGAATCCTTCCAGTGATAAAAATAAACCTCTAGGATGGATATCTGAATCCTTCCAATGATAAAAATAAACCTCTGGGATGGATATCTGAATCCTTCCAGTGATAAAAATAAACCTCTGGGATGGATATCTGAATTCCTCCAGTGGTAAATTAGTTCTCTAAGATCCATATTTGAATTTATAAACCTAAGAAATGGATATCTAAATACCTTCAGTATTTACAAACTTTAGATGGATTCCTTTACCAGTAAAATATTTATCAAATGTTTCAATGCAAGTTTTACACCCATGGATTTTTTTCTAAATTCCACCAGGGAAATTGCAATACCAAAATCAAAGGCAGAACCAAAAACTCATAAAATAGAAATCTATTCAAGAATGCATCAACGTGTAAAGCTAATAATAATATAAGATTTAACCACCCCTAATCCAAGTTTATTCACACGTTGCCAATTCCGCTGTGTGAATCCACGTTGCAAAGCGTTTTGAAATTTTCATTACTTATCACTTGTCACTGAAAGAAAGAAGAGGTTCATTTTACTTATATACTTCACAACACTGTTTACTGAATTTTTTGATTTTTTCTTCTTTTACATATATTTTTTATGCAATTGTTTAAAGTGCACACTAAAGTTTCAAAATTTATATTCTAGATGATAATTTTTTATTTAGTAAATTATAAATCAAACATTAAACTCAATAAAATTTTATTCAATTTGCTTTTAGTTATGGATACCCTGCTCAAGTTTCTGGTGTTGGTAAAGATGGTTTACATTGTGGCAACCTTTGTTCAGCCTGGCATTACAGCAGGAATTTTGCCAATTTCCAACCTTCCCTTTATTAAGATTATCAAAAAAGTGGCTGTAGAAAAGTTGTATATATTCATTCATGGTGATTTAAGAAAAAACAAATAGATGATCATTGATTCAATTAAAGAAAGTTTCAAAAAAAAGAGACTATTGAAAAACTTAAATAGTTAAATTTGTTTATTAATTTAATTGGTTCTAAACTCTAGGAGTAATAGAAACTTCAAACAACACAACTGAAAACAGAAATGAAAAAGGTGAGCCAATTTTTTTTACTTAAACAACATGATTTTTCAGATATACATTTTTAACTAAATCCTTTAATAGAAATGGTCTTGTATAAATAAGCATACTTTATGCTCATATTAAACAATTTGACTTTCAGACTTCAAATTCTTTCTATCCAATCCTTATTTAGCTTCTGAAAATGTTTTTTTTCTAGTATTGTCTCTCTTCAGTGTTGTCAACTTCCCTAACTTAGAGTGCAATAGTTTAAGCTCAAGCTTTGCAAGAGGTAAGATTTGGTACAATAGTAGTTTTATTAACAATATTAAACAAAGGTTTTGAAATCTGAAACCTCTGATAATATTTGCTACCACAATGGGAAGTTTTTTTAGAAAAATAAAATAATAAATATTTAAAACATTAACCAGGAACATGCTTGGCTTCAAGTGAATGTCAGAGCAAAGGAGGGACTACAAGTGGAACATGTGCAGCAGGTTCAATAAAATTTTTAAAATTTTTTTGATCTGTTGTGTCTTATTTTTATTAGATGGTAAGGCTCATATAGAATAATATTGACTGTTTTCTTGGAGAAAACAAAGTTTTTAAAAAACAATAAAAATAAATTGGTAATAATGTCATGAACATTATTAATTTGGCTCAAAGCTACCATATGAGGTTTGCCCATAAAATGAAATGTATAAAAGGTAAAACGTTATCAATCGATATTGTTAAGGGTTTGGTGTCTGCTGTTTGTTTACAACATCTGCCTGTAGCAGCACTGTTAGTAATAATGTTTCCTATATAACTAATCCAGGATTCCCTTCTACCTATAATACAGCAGGTAATCAGAGATCACATTTACATATGATTTGGAACTTACTTCTTTATACCAACATTTGTTTGTGATAAAATATTCTAAACACTGAACACAGCTAATAATACATCCCAGGTTGTTAATAAAACAAATATATGCAAAAAGAATACAATATTCAGAGATTTGAAAACACAAGGCAACCAATTTAAAAATATGATAAAGTGATAAATGCACACTTGTTACAAATTAAAGGTATCTTAGGACTTAGCCTAAATTTTGATGAAAAAATAAAGATTCCATTACTAACAAGTAATTTTCAGCCTCTATAGATTTCTTGTTCTTTAAATTTTTTTTTATTTTAACACTTTTTCGATGTAAGCATACTTCAGGAACCTGCACTTATACAGTAAACAAAATATCTTCTGACATCTGCCAGCTGCGTCTAGACTTCATTACACTTGTTCAAAGTGTTTCTACTAATCCACAGGTAAACAATAGGAATCTAGCTTGGTTTCTGGACTTAATTATTGGAATGACTTTTTAACTTAATAATTCTGGGATAGTTTTTAATTTAGGGAAAAATATAGTTATTATTAGTCAAGTTGTTTAACCAAAAAAGAACATTATTTGTAAATAAAATCATAAAGAAGATTATATGAAAAAACTTTCCTAAAAATAAAAAAAAACTTTAAACACTAATCTTGTCACATTTCTAAATAAATAAAAAATATGTTGTAAGGTTTATATTTTCAGATTTTCAAAATTTAAAACTTTTATTACCTTTATCTATGAAAGGGATGTTGTGGAGCTGCTCCTACATGTACTATAGCATCAGACTCATTAACAGTATTAGGAAAGACTGGAAAGAATCCCCCGGTCATCTGTGGAACCAACACTGGAGAACATAGTAAGTATATTTTACCATTTTAACTTTGTACATTAGTTTGGCTTTTTTCAAGTCATGTGTTCATTGTTCCTTAACAACCACTGTCGTTCAGTAAAAACTTTAATTCATTTGTGTTCGGAATCATCGTTCATTTTCCTTCTATTTCAAACGTTTTTTACTGAATCATTTCCTTTACTAAAATCGTTTGTTCAGCAAAACCTTTCGTTCAACAAATTGTCTGTTCGGTAAAATCGTTTGTTCAGTAAAACCGTTTGTTCAGAAAAATCGTTGTTCAGTGAAAACGTTTGTTCAGAAAAATCGTTTGTTGAGTTGAATCGTTTTTTTAGTAAAATCGTTGTTTAGTAAAATCGTTTGTTCAGCAAAATCGTTTGTTCAGTAAAATCGTTTGTTCAGTGAAATCGTTTGTTAAGTAAAATCGTTTGTTCGGTAAAATCGTTTGTTCGGTAAAATCGTTTGTTCAGTAAAATCGTTTGTTCAGTAAAATCGTTTGTTCAGTAAAATCGTTTGTTCAGTAAAATCGTTTGTTCAGTAAAATTGTTCGTTCAGTAAAAGGTTAGGTAGGGAACGGTCGGGTTTGCCCTTGCTGCCTGAAATTAAATGCAAACGATCATAGACGATTTTAAATCTTTCCTTTTTTCATTTTTGTCATTTTGATAAAAAAGTTTGTTTTTTTATTTTAATTTGAAAAGTATTTTTGCAAAAAAAACCTAAAAAATGTGTGATTAAAGCTCGCTGCATCTTATGATATATGAAGTAATAGTAGGAGTAAATTGTACGAGCAACCATACAAAACTAAACTTCTTAGTGTATGTTGAGACAGGAGCTACTGATGGTGATACAGTCAGCCTGGCTTTCTTAGTTACCGGAACTTCCAATGACCAATGGAATGTCAAAGTATCACAGATACCTTGTTCAGCTAGTTACAGGTGCCAGTAGTTAAAATAAATTCTTTTGTATTCCAAAAGTTTCATTTTTTGTCCCATTAAGCATTGCAACGTATTAAGTTCCACCAGTCATCTATTCTAGTGGTTAAATTTTTGTCTCATTTAATTCTTTTTCCATCCCATGTTTTTCTACATTTCATTGTTTGTCAAAAACAGCAATCCTTCTGCGATCCAATTTAGCTTTTTAAATTTGAACTAACTTCTAGCTAATATGAAATAATTTCTTTTTTTTCATTTACATTTTAACCTTTTCACTTTTCTAATCTATAGAGCTCCCTCCAACTGTGTGAAGTACTTCACAGGCTCTTCAGGTATTTTAGTTTAATTTTCCTTATCGCTAGCCAGTTACAATAGCGTTGTGTTTTTAAATATGTTCATAATCTTCATATCTAAAAAATTCTAAACATTGCAAACAATTGAGGTTTCTCTCCTCAGACTTATATCTCCTGTCAGGGTTAAAATCTTGCTTAGTTTTATAGTTTGACAAAATACTTATCAATGTAGTTTTACTCACATAGCTTTTGAAAATAACGAAAGTCATTTTATATCCAGTTCATTATTTCTTTTATAGGGACAGTAACAAGTTATGGGTTTCCAGGGGATACCCAACTTACAAGTCAAAACTATGAATCCTGTATTAGACAAGAAAAAGGTAAGTATTTTATAATAACCGCCGTGCATGAGAACTGATTTAGGCCGAATTCGCAATAGGCCATTGTAATAGCTAACGAGCTATTCTATCGATTAAATTACGGACATAAATCTTAGGGGTTTTCGAGATCAATCCTCGATTGTCAATTTGACCCCCTTTCGTTTTTTTTTGCGATAACTCAAAAAGTATTTGAGCTAGAAAGCTCAATTGTCTGACTTTTCTAACTAACACATCCCCTCACTTAAGACTAAAAGCTGGGCTTCTATACCTACTGCCTGAGTCCTCAGGCATACTGCTTTAATGCCTTATTTTACCTATACCAGACTAAATACATATTTAGACCTACTTCCAGTCAGTGGATTTCAAAATTGTATAGCTCTTTGGAAAGCCTGTAATAAAAGCAAGCAGATTGCTTAATTTTGCAAAGAAATTTTGCACAGATTTTTGCACTGACGCCTGTAAAGGGAATTTGCACATTTTTAGTTTTTCTTGAATACACATTTTGGTTTTAAATATTTTGCAAATGTTTTTGCACATATGATTTTTTTGGGTCCAGGGCTTTTCAAAAATGTATAACTTGTTTTAATTTTACGCGATTTTTTTGCACATTTTTTGCTTATTAACTAGATTTCGCAATAAATATTTGGATTTTTGCAATGCGCGTTTTTTTGCAGATTATTGAAGTAGAGTCCAAGGACTTTACAAAAACGTATCAAATGTTACAGATTTGTATCACAATAAGAAAATAGAGGGGGGGGGTTTAATTTACCTCAACCCCCCCGGCAACCAGTCATGAAACCAGACGTCAGGCTAAATAGGGTTAACCATGCTGCCCCCTGACTCCGAATGACTACTTTTTCCTTAAACAAACTAAATCTTTGTTTTGACTTACTTTCAGTTGTCAGATATGATGATTTTCAGCTTTTTGGAAAACCTAGGACATAAGGAAACAAGTTTTGCAAAGAAATTTGCACATTTTCAGTTTTTCCTAATTACGCATCAGATTATTTAAAATTTTGTACAAATTTTTGCATATTTGAAATGGCATGGTCAAGGGCTTTTCATAAATGTATATTTTATCATTTTATCATTTTTTTGCAAATATTTTTACTTTATAGCTGGATTTTGCCAATTTTGCCAATTTGCAAATCTTTTTGCAGATTCTAAAAGTAGCGCTTAAGAGCTTTCCAATCATTTGTCATATTTGGACATCAAACATGGAATTTAGCATTTCCTGTTTTTCAAGTAATCCAGCAGGGAAAGGGGGGAACGTTGCCCATTGTAATGGGCATGCCCAGCGGCCCAGCCTACCCTCAACCACTAAAATTTTGAGTGCTAATGGCAAACAATTATTTAAATTTTGTGCAGGTTACTGTGGAATTCAATGGGATGAAAGTACTTTGACAGCTCCAAAAGGTAACATTAATTGCTGTTATACTTCAGTAGTAGGCGATTAAATCAATACAATGAAGACGACTTTCTTATTTTTATTTGCTATTTACATCAAGCTGTTAAACAGCATGGATATTGGATACACATGAACATAGAAGTCAAGAGAAGCTGTCAATTAAAAAAGCTTCTCTTTGATTACGTACTTGTAAACTTGTAATTCGAAAAAAGCTAGTTAACAATCAAAACTTAAATAAAAAATCGTATTCATTGTATTGATATAATCGCTTACCAATGTAGGAAAAGCTTGTAAATGAAATGGAGAAATAGTCGGAATCATGAAATGTTACGAAAATTTGATATATAAAGTGTCCTTTCTAACTTCCGGCCTCGAAGCTTCTCGTATTTTAAGATCAAGACAGTATATAGACATATCTAGATATCAAAAATAATATAAATCTTTGCGTTAAAACAATATTTAATATGTTTCAGATGCTTTTGATCTGACTAATGCAGCAGTAGCAGGTCAAGCAAATACTGGAGGTAAGTAATTCAAACATCGTTATAGTTCAACAAACAATATTTTCATTTGAATCTCTGAATTTAGATACACCTGCTGGTTGCATAGCATCCTACATACAAATTCCGAATGGTGTAGTTGCTGCTACAACTGGGCCACGAAGGGTAATTACTATGCCTCATATTTTATATTTTTATATCTTGTGCTAGTTTTTATTTTGATTTATGTTAATTCTTCTAGCAGGCATACTGCCTGAATGACTTATTTTACCTTTATATTTAGACCATTTAGGTCATTAGATTTTGTCTTTTTATAGCTCTTTAGAAAGCTTTTGACAAAAGGAAGCAGTTTGCACTACTTTTGCTAAGAAATTTGCTAATTTGAATTCGCCGTGGTAAGGGCTTTTCAAAAATGTATAATTCATCATCACTTTTTGTTGTGCACATTTTTTGCTTAATAACTTAAAATTGCAATAAAATTTTTTTTGCAGATTATTAAAGAGAACTCAAGGGCTTTCCAAAAGTGTATCAAATGTTACAGATTTGTATCACAAAGCGGAAATATTTTGGGTAAACCAGACGTCCGCCTAAATAGGGTTAATAGAGGATGTACCATGTGCATTGTGCAGTCTGCACACCGAGTTTTTGTGTTTCTTCTTTTTCTTCTGATGTCATCTGCAATTGTACATGATTGGGTGGGGGAGTCTTAAATGTTATTTTCTTTCCAAAGGGGGGCGGCTGCTCAGCCCTCACCCCCTGGGTACGCCTCTGACCTTAATCCTCTATCGTCATCTAATTAAGTAACTTAATTTAACTGACATGATAAAATAAGATATTTTTTATTGTTAACACTACATAAAACAGTTAAATAATAATGGTACGTGTTTACTATCCAATGCCAATTTCTAATCATGCGAACCTTGAATTTGCTATTGAGTTAGAAAAATTCTTAGTTTGAAGTTTCAAAAATTGCGAAGATATAAAGATTGTAAAATTATGGATTATGACAAGTTATCAGTTCCTTCAAAATGTAATTTTTTCCTTTTATTACATTTAAGAGGATTCAAAGAAATATAATTAATCTAAGTAGTAATATTGTTTCAGTTTTTCTGTGGAGAAACTTTAGGAGTTGATACTGCCACTACAACCAGCCCTGTCACAAGTAAGCACTATAGATAGTAATTCTGTTTTTTAAAAATCTGTATGAAAAGGTATAGGGAAAAATGGCGGTGCCGCGGTCCAGGCTATTAAATATTTTGTAATAATTTTATTTAAGTCATATTAATGAAATGAATAAAAACAGATTAAAAATAGTAGATTTTAAGTTTAAAATCATGTCAGCCAAAAACAAAGCTGTGGGGGAATGATATGAATTAAATTTTACCTAATTTATTGTAAATAATAACTCTAAAAGCTGTTTAGATTTTATTGATGTAGAAATTTAGGATATGTTTAGGAAAGGTTCCAGCACAAAATTTATTTCTATCTAAATATTTTCAGCTTACACAGTTCCGTTCTCCCTCACTCATTTTACTTCGATTGCAACCCAGACTGCTACGGGCCCTACAGTTGCTAACGGATTCTCACTGGATTATACACAACTTCCATGCTAGTTCCTGTGTATATACAATTCTTATGCAGTCATACAGTGTACGCAAAAATTATCAAATTGAATTCGATATCGATCGCTTCGCTGGTAACTTTACATCTATCTGTTGCGATTATAAGGAGAAGGGTTAAAAATATGTCTTGCACCCAAAAGCGGAGTTGCGATATTTCACTTGGATTGTAAATAATTAAATTTAAAACTAATCATTCATAAAAGTTGTAATATCTACATAGAGAATAGAATATGATTATACATGCTTTGCAGACGAAGTACTCCATTTAGTAGGGCCCCACAGGAAAAATATGTATTGGCTCAATTTTCTTTGACCAGTTTCGCCAATACATATTTTTCCTGTGGAGCCCTACTAAAGAAACCAAACAGCTCGATATAAAATTTCGTCTGCAAAGCATGTATAATCATATGGTAGGGCGAACCGCGTCAGTTGTCTCTCCCTTCTATTCCTTGCTCCCTGTTTGTAGTAGAATAAAAATATAAAAAAAATTGTAATTTGTAGCATTCATTCGTCATACTAATATTGTAGCAAAGTATAACTCTTGTTTAGACTCTTCAAATATTCACCCTAAAACTCCCAATTCTTGGTATTTTCATAATGGGGTCTGCCATTTGTATTAAAACATATAGTTCTGAACCGACATTTATTTGATTATTATTGACGATCAAGTTCAACCCTGCCTTAAATGAAATATGGGTAGGCACTTCTAGCCGCCGAAACGTTTAAATTAAAATCAGAACAAAATTCTTAATATTTCCGGTAATATTAACAGCACAAGCCAGACCACATTCTGAAAATGATAAGACAATGAGAGATTTGGGGTTAATGTTCTAGAATCTTCAAATGTAGAAAATTGTTATCAAATGATGCCGCATGTTTTATTAAAAGGTCTTTCTAAAATTTAAGCTCTTTCTCTTCACCGTCATGTTTCGTGACATAATTCGAACAGTTGTGCAAATTGTTGGATGAATATTTTCTTCATGTTCCACGTCAACTTTCTCAACCTTCCCCTGCTGGAGAACATCGTCCAGTTGACCATATTTAGCTATTTAGCTCAACTCTTCCCCTGCTGGAGAACATCAACCAGTTCTTCCGGGCCACATATTAGCTTTTATCTCTTCCAGCAGCCATGAGCCACCACTATTTCCTCTTCCGTACCACCACATTTGACTCTTCCGGGAAAAATTTCTTTGTTAAATGATATATTTAGGGCCTTTAAAGTGAGATTTTCAAAAATCTAGCCGCGTCACGCAAAAAAATATTTATTTAAATCTGTATATTAAAGTGTTAATATAAAAAAGGATACCTCTTAAAGTAATCTGCTGAACTTTTTTTTTAGCAAATCTAAACATCAATAATGACGTACCATAAAATACACTTTAGTTCTGAAGGGTACCCTTGTGTGAAAACGTGCAATGTGTTAAGAGAAAATTGCTAAAAACGTTTTTTTTGTTGATAAAATCTGATACACGTAAGTAAGGACAGTAAATATTGGGATATTAAGTATGTTTTCTTATTATTTAGTAACAATTGTTCTGTGCTCCACCAAAACGAAAAAATACTTAAGTTTACCTGCTAAAATCTAAAACTAACGACCTATCTTTTAATATATTTATATATTAATCTTATGGAGAATTGACAAAAATGATTTGAGTTCTGCTTTCTTGCGTGACGTGGCTGGATTTTTTAAAATCACACTTTAAAGGCCCTAGCTGCCGGAGAGAAAAAAGCTAATATGTGGCCCGGGAGAATAAATAGTGGTGGCTCATGGCCGTCTGTCTTCCCCCGCTCCCAGTTGACCATATTTAGAGATCTTACGAATAAAAAAACACAACTTTTCTTCATTTTGTTTAATTGAGATCTTGAAAAGTAACAATATGGATTATATTACATCAAAATAATAACAATATTTAATATAATATTTCAAACTTCATATTTCAAAAATGTTAACAAATTGTCCCCTATAGGTTTGTATCTGTTAAGAATTTAAAAAATGTATCGTTGTTGAATTAAGATGCTTAATTCTTCAGAACAGACATTCTTAAACAATTCAATTACATTTCCCCAATGTCTCTGAAATAAGATTGATAACCCAGGGGAATGTTTACAAAATTGACGAAGCATTGTGTAATATTAAATTTAATAATTTGCGTAGTTAATATTTTCAGTTTTACATCTAACCAATTATTTAGAAAAATAATCTATTAGTGTATAAGGTAAGGTACTAAGGTTGACTAAAAATTGTTTTTATCAATATGACAAAATCCAGTATTTTTTGAGTTTACGGCTCTTCCACTAACAGGGTGAAGAGACAAAATTATTGGATAGAAAATATTGAATACTTTTCTAATTTTCCGCGTTTGTTTACAAATTGTCATCTTGTTGACGATTGAACGTACTGCAGCAAGTTTCATGTTTTAAACCTTCCTGGATGAATATATTTATGTTTACAAATTATGCACTGTACTGCAATCTGGGAAGAATGAAAGTGATTCAATAAGTATAGGTTTAGTATCCTATTATTTGGCGTTATGACGAAAATTTCAAGTGTGAGGGGGGGGGACTGTATTCACAATAATGTTTTCTTTTAAATAAAATTGTTGAAAACTATTCTGTGTACACGATAAACTGCTCGTCTGGACTCGAAACCTGAAATTAATATAAATAAATAAATAATCAAATAAAATTTCAAGATTATTTAAAATGTTTGTAATCTACCTCTACATGTACAAACTGTGGTTGAAGTAAACTATCGTTCATTGTGACGGATTCCGGGGAGGGAGCTGAAGATTGACGACCCGACTTCTGCTTGGCATGAGTGAGAATATGAGATTTAAGGTTGGTGGACTGCGCAAACTTCTTATTGCAACCCTAAAAGAATGATCAGTTAATATTGAAAGTCGGTTTTATTAATAATATTTTCAAAATTTTAGTGCTGCAGCTTATAAGAATCGTCGACGCAATTGTCTTCTCTATTTCTGAATGTTTTTCTCTGAACTATTAACTTTGGGTCGTTGTGCATAGTAATGGGTAATAACTTGGCATTTGTTTAATTTTCAAGGTTATGGACTAATAGTTTCACAAAAATCTGAAAATTATTAAAAATTTCAAAATTGTTTATTCCAAGAATTTATTATCTTACACGATGCCACATGTTGACTTTGAGAGAATATGTTGTGAAAAACTAACCATAAACGGTTGTTTTTTTGGGGTTCGTTTTTCAGTTCCTCTTAGAATAACAATTTAGTCAGATAACAGCAAACTTTTCCTTCACACAGATTTAAAATGGTAGAACCTTCACAGTATTTGTGTGCTGCCTATTAAAAGTACGAAACCCTTGAAAAAACACGAATAAAGTTATTGCCCTTTCCCATAGATAAATAAATAAACATAGATAGCTTATGTACGCAAAATCACCAAGAATTGTACAGTCCGCGAACTCATACTTCTAGGGGTCAAAGTGTACTTCAATGATAAGCGGGGTGGTTTGGTGTTTTAAT